AGAGGCTCTTGCAGGACAAGCTTCTCAAAACATAACCGCCTGTTACATTTAGAGAAGTTATCATTTGTTAGTTTCTGCTATAGTCAGTCTCTCCGTGATCTGCAGGAAGTACACATACATAAGTGAGTATGGTGTCGTTATTTCTCAAACTTAGTCAGACATTTATTTTTCAGGAAAAAGATATTACAAGCTCAAATAATTGATATGCAATTGGGGTCGGAGCTGCTATGACAGGAAGAGCAGTCCTACATTAGGGACAGTGGTTGTTTTTATTTTAGCTAAACAATAGCGCCAAAATCAGTAAAGTTCTTTTTCCTTTAAATAAAGTGTTAATGTATTTTAAGAAAAATATTTTACTGTACACTTTAATAAACCTTTTCACTTAACCTGACATTGCAATTTTCACAGCAAAACAGTGATAATATGTATTGTTTGTGTAATCAACTTCCGAACAAACCTATATATACACAATATCATATAATATGAATATATCATACAGAAATTTATAAATTTCAAATGAAAAGGTATTAAAAAATCTTTTTTAGAATGCCTTGTTAACATCAGTATTTTGTATATTTATGTTTTGTATAATACTGCAAGCTCCTGTAAAAGTGCAATTTCAAAACTAAAAATATCCTAAGTCATTGGTGGTGATATAATGAATTGGTGGTGATATAATGATGAGTGAGGCAGTTTAGGGTAAAATGGACGGATTAATCAGTTTGTGAAGCTGCCCTTCATTTGCAGAGGACAGAATCAACAGAGGTAAATAGACAATACATGCTAAAGAGTTACCCATATAAAATGTATATTTCAAAAAAAGTCACCTCTGCCGACAAGATTGTGATTTTGCATCTTGCAGTGAAATTACTAAAGAATACATTCAGGCTTGTCTCAAACAGTCATCAATGCAAAGTGTTTAAAATGGTCAAAAACAGCGAAAATTTTTGTGCTTGTGGATCATAAGAACATTTCTAGTTTTGGTTAGTGACTGTCTCTGCAACTTGAAGGTCACATTGTGACAGAGGAAGTACTGACTATTCCTACTTATAATTATTGACAAAAAACTGTTCTTGAATAAAATGCAAAATTATTCAGTCACATATAGGTTGAACATTGATAATAACTGATCATAATTATTATCTGTAAATTGCAATGAATCCTTATGCTCCTTTCACATTCATTTATTTATTACATGACACATATGTCCACATATCACAGTACCTGATAACTAATTTATTTTTGTTTTCTTATGAATATCGAGTACTATAAACAATGCTCAGTCTGCCTTGGTCATTATGATATTTAGCCATTATGGTACCGTACTGTCAATAGCAATTCAGCATTCCTGTTTGCAGAGCTAAAACTAAATTTTAACCTAAGTTAAACTTAAGTTAGCAACGTTTTTTTAAGAACTGACACAAATGCATTAAGAACAGCCAATTTAATATTGCCGCTTCCAGCCTGCTTCCCTGTGATCGTACCTTTCTCACTGACAGGAAAATCAATGGCGAATGAAAATTCCAAAATATGCAAGTTTCAGGTGAACTTCTCTGCACTTAAGAAACACACAAAAGGCGGAGCTCCATATCTGCTGGGTTTAACCAATCAGAAGCAGGTTCCCCCGGTTACCTGGCAGCCCCTGGTCCATTCCAGAGCTTCAGCCACCAGCTGCCAAACTGTAATTGAAATTTGCATCTCTGTATCCTGCACAAATTCATGGTGATTGACAAGTGCTGAAAAATGTCCTTTTATACTGCGTATGCTTTCCTTATGAGAGCCCAAAAACTACTTTATGGCAAAAAATGTCTCCGGATAATAATTCACCCAGAAGGGCTCTGCAGAGGTAGAGAAATCTTTCTGGTGACATGCTGACACATAATTACACAATATCACACAGTCGCAATTATGTCAAATTTACATCTGGCCATTATGCTGAGCCTCTGTGCACCATGGAATATAGTGCAAGTGCAACACATCATTTCCTGCAGTCACTCAGGGGCTGGATTGCCATCAGTCTCCAGGCAGCTTTTCTAAGGCTTACAAAATATTTCAATTTGCAGGTTTCGGCCCAGACTTTTGCAGCTCATGCATCATGCGTACAATAACATGTAATGGATCAACTGCCAACTCATTTTTCATACTGTTTTAATTTTTGATTATTGCATTTGCCATGCACTATGTGTAATGCATATTTTCTTGGCTGAATAAAAGGCTACCATTTTACATATACTTAATGAATTGTTATAAACATGTTTCAGCAGAAAACCTGAAAAAAGCCAAATCTATATTTTTCATGGATACCAGGTAGAAGACACTGCCAACATCCAGCTGCATGCCTGATAGTAACAAAAAAAGTCACAGATTCCATAAAGAGAAAAAATAGAAGCAACAAAATGCATTTACTTATAGATTCTTTTCTAGCATATAATAAATGGAGGAGAAGATGACTGGCATGGGATGAGTAAGAGATGTAGGGTTCATGGGCAGAAATGATGGAAACGTACCGTTTAGGGACTCGACTGTGAGCATGCGGCAGCAAGGTGACACGTGTCAGACAGGTCCAGGCACTTTGATCATGTTGTTTGGGCGAAGGGTGCAGAGAAGCTATCTCCTTTGGATTTTCCTCAAATCCAGATCCAGCTATCACAGGTTAAACTTATATTTTCTCAATATACAATGCAATGCATATACCAATCGGACCGATTCTCAAAAAAACAGACCAGTGTCCCCATGACTTATGCACAGATAGATATCATCTTAAAGACCTCCGACTGAGAGATGCTTAGAAATACGAGTAAAACTGCAAATTACTGTTAATGACAAGAGTTATTATATTAATTTACAATTTTAAATAAACAAATATTCTGAAAGTAATGGCTTCCAGAAGCAACCTGATGTTGTGCTTGTGTTGTATAACTTATTACGCTGGCTTTCCTGATTATTTTAGCCGTCTTCCTAATTACTCTAAAAGAAGCAGTTGCTGGTGATATTGCTCCTTTCCCCTTTGTCCCCATGCAAAACGGCTCTCATTACACTCGTTAGCCTAACGAGTCCCGCAGTAGGCGAGACCCTTACCTAGTGCGCAGCGCTGTCACCGACTCACAACTCCCCCACTGTCCAAGTCTGGGAATTACATGCTGTGCGCTCACCGCTGAGAGCAGGACCGCCGACTCTCACCCCTGTTTTACACTGGATGCGTGTCCGCTGCGGTGCGACTGCGCTGCATTCCCATTCCGTCCGAGGCCGTCCGCCAATTAGCACTGGACGCGTTTGTGGTCCGTATCTGATCCGGCGCGCCGCTGGTTTGCGGGATCACATGATCACGGGAGAATAACATTTAACATAACATTTATCTATGTTTTTATGGATAAAATAATGTGTCACTCCCATGTAGGTTACTGAACACTTTATTAGGAGTTTACAAGTACTTCACAGTACAGGTTACATTCATTAAAAATCAAGTATTTACATAGTTAATTCTACTATTATCCTTGTAAAAAGGATGTCTGGGGTCGTACACAATTCCGTGTTTCTCCACCTCAAAATTAACTTTTCGTCGTCCATGATGTGAAGGGGAGTTGGCGCATGCGCTCTGTGTTACGTTCTTGATCCGTATCCGTCAAAAATAGACTTGATGCGTATCTCGACGGACTGCCGGACATGTGACGGAACAGAGACATAGCGGAGACGCAACGCAGCGGATCTGGTGTAAACTGCTGCATTGACTTTATTGGCCGCGATTACCTGCGGCTGCCGTGTCGGAAACGCATCCAGTGTAAAACAGGAGTCACGCATCTGACATGACACTCACGCTGTCAGGTTCTCACGCAAGAAATCATATGGCAAAGCTATATTATTCCATTTTAGGCCTAAAATTAGCTGCATCAAAAGCGCTGGGGTAGTTTGCCAACCATATAGACTATTTGCAAGTTAATAAAACTGTTACATACATGTAGCTTAAATTGTGTGTGTAGACTTGTCTCGAATTGAAAACCTCACGCCAGCCAACTGACCAGTTGGCAACCCTGTGAGGAATTTTTATCTGCTTCTAATTTTATATCACAAAAGTCATATTCACTGTATTACTAATTATTGCTCACGCATATATTACCCTTAACAACCCACCTCCCGGTTCCGATATTGGAGGGAAGAGATACACCGACCGAAAAATAAAAGGCATGTTGAACTCTGTGAAATGGTGTTTGATCCTGACCCGTTTCATTGTCTCCATTAATTTTTGAACCGTAATGTTCATTTCTCCCCACAGGTCATTTGTAAAAGCTATCATATTGCCTTCGGAGAAGGTTCACCGGTTTGTTTTTATCACCAGATTGTTTTATGCATAACGTTCTACACCTTGTGACGAGCCTAACAAAAACGCATAGGCCATGAAGTGTATTCTGTTTTTCCGTTTACCTATTCATGAAAAGCTTATAGCTGACAATTGCTTATTTATTTCATTGTATATAGACATGTTATACAAACTGCTTGGTTTAACTCATCTGCAAAATACGTAGATTAAAAAGTAGGCTAATAGCGGATTGATATGCTGTTCAAATTTACGTCGTGATCAAAGTACACACTTTTAATTAGGCCTAATGCGTTGATTGATTGATTGATATAGGCTTATTGAATGGATGCCGGTGACACTAATGAATACCTCCGGCCAATTCATTGCGAATATAGCTGCATAATGACTAACACGCAATAAATACTAATAATAAAAATGTAATCTGAATATTGGACGACGCCGATTTTCTATACTGCTTTGAAAATATGAAGTGTATTTATCCGCACCACGATATGCAATATGCACCATTAATCTAATGTAAGTAAGTCGCTGGTAAATTGTATGAAATACATAGAGATAAAAGTGTCTGTTGCGTATTAATATTAATACTTTAAAATGAAATAGGCGGTTAAGTAAGACGGAGACGTGCTGTCGGTGGGAGGTTCTAGGCATCGATAAGGAGGTGGGCTCGAAGCCGTGCGACATCCAGGGAGCGCAGCTGTCAGTGAGCCTGCGAGCCTCACGGACATCGGGACGCGTCCCCGCAGCGCAGAGCCGAAACAGTGAGGGAGTGCGTTTATAGCAAATTCAGGTCAGCTTTTTAAGTCAGAAAAGCCGCAGCAAAGAGAAGATCGGGAAGCATGAAAAGGAGGGGGAAAGAGACCGCGATGCGCTCTTGAGCCACACCATGCGTACTCACTAGCGGCGCTGGTTTTGAGTTAATCCTGCCGATTTTGGACGTAAAAAGGCGTATGTTCATGGACTTGTGGTATATTTTTACTTTGCAAGGGAGAGCCCTTCTTTGTGGTCTCGCATAAAATAGGATCCAATTCAAGCAGTGACATCACTACCGCTACTCCAGTCTCCACAACTACTGCTACAAATACCGTATAGTACCACCACTACTGCGACCAGTACAAGAATCACTACTAAAACCATTGATTTTAAACAAAAGGTACGGTACCATTTTAATCTCATTTAATCATATTTTCAAGTAATACTTTAACTTTGCGTATGGATACATGGCTGAATAAAACATTTAGGCTCAGTCTTTCTTTGCAGTTCTATGCTTGCAATTACACAGTGCGCGCTGTTTTTGGAAGGCATTACAGCACATGACTATATATGGCTAGAGTGATGGACTGATTTCTGCATGCAGTAGGAAGTACTACTTAAGTTGTGGTTTGTTTCTCTATTAAGCGTAACCATAAACCAGTGGCTTGCTTGTACATAAACTGAGAAATCCTTTCGCGGGAGCGCGCGAGGCTCGCTGACTTGCTGTATTATTACAAGTTGTATAGATGATGTATTTCACTATTATTTTTTTATTTTCAGTTTTTAAATTGCTGTATGTTTCGTTGGAATCGTCTTTTTGATGCCTTCCATTGATTTACGATCGACGGCTTAGGAGCGCAAGTGATCAGCGAAGCGTACAGTTTAAGAAGTTGCTGGTAATATATGCTGTGCGATTCGACATCGATGATTAGCGCTCGGATTTAGCAGAGAAGAACAGCTATGGGTGGACATCGGCTGGGCTGCGTGAACAGGTGGCAGCCGCGGCAGCAGTGATTCAGTGCCGTTTCTCAATACGGTGAAAGTGCTTATAGCGGCTTCAGGTGTGTCTATGTAGATTTAAATAAGATGCGATCCTTCTCACGCGTGTACATATATGTTTGTTCTTTTATCTTCTTATGTATAAAAGAGGAAAAATGTAACAGGTCATCACCGTTATTATTATTATTATTATTATTATTATTATTATTGATAATAATAATGATAATAATTTTGTTATGTTGAGTGCTTGTATACAAGACACTAAACGTGCGTTTCATATTCCTACGAGAACAGACCACACGGGCTTAGATATTAGCAGTGCAATTTTTCACTGTATTAGTTCCATACTTGCCGAATAATACTGTTTCTGCGCGGATTTTTAACGGCATGTTTAAATCTTGCACACAGGCTCGGTAACAGCTGGAAGCTATCCTGTTGGCAGTATGAAAAGATCTGGGATTTCAGCTTGCTTCTCCCTAAGCCTCCAAATCAGCATTGTGTTGGCAGTACTACTCTTCAGAATTCAATGTGTGACTTCAGAGAGTGCGGAACAGAGTAAAAATGATGACTATTCTCCAGTTTATAATGAAACTAAATCATGCACTGGAAGTTACCATTGCAATGAAGGAGTGATTCTGCCAGTCTGGCAGCCTGAAAATCCATCATACGGGGACAAAATAGCAAGGGCAACAGTCTACTTTGTTGCTTTGGCTTATATGTTCCTAGGAGTTTCTATCATTGCCGATCGCTTCATGGCATCCATTGAGGTCATCACATCACAAGAGAAAGAAATAACAATCAAGAAGCCCAACGGTGAAACCACCACAACCACTGTGCGGATATGGAATGAGACTGTTTCCAACTTGACTCTTATGGCCCTTGGCTCGTCCGCTCCAGAAATCCTGCTCTCCGTTGTCGAGGTGTGCGGGCACAACTTCAATGCGGGCGACCTTGGCCCAAACACCATCGTGGGCAGTGCCGCATTTAACATGTTCGTCATCATTGGCCTCTGTGTATATGTTGTCCCGGATGGAGAGCACCGGAAGGTGAAGCATCTGAGGGTGTTCTTCGTCACTGCAACCTGGAGCATATTTGCGTATACGTGGCTTTACTTGATCCTGGCTATTATCTCTCCGGGTGAGGTGGAGGTATGGGAAGGGCTGCTGACCCTGTTCTTCTTCCCCCTCTGTGTTGCCTTTGCCTGGATTGCTGACCGCAGACTTCTATTCTACAAGTATGTGTATAAGCGCTACCGAGCCGGGAAGCAGAGAGGGGTGATCATTGAGACAGAAGGAGACCGGCCTCTGCCCTCAAAAGTCGACATCGAGATGGACGGCAAGATGCTTAACTCCAACTCGGTGGACTTTCTGGATGGAAGCCTTGATATGGAGGATAAAGACTTTGATGATGAGGAAGCCAGGAGAGACATGGCTAAAATCTTAAAAGAACTTAAGCAGAAGCATCCTGATAAAGAAATGGAGCAGATCATTGAAATGGCTAACTATCAAGTGCTCAGCCAGCAGCAGAAGAGCCGCGCTTTCTATCGCTGTCAAGCAACCAGACTGATGACCGGGGCAGGGAATATCTTGAAGAAGCATGCCGCCGACCAGGCTCGGAAGGCAGTGAGCATGCACGAGGTGCGCACTGAAGTTGCTGAAAATGACCCGGTGTCAAAGATCTTCTTTGATCCCGGCTCATACCAGTGTCTGGAGAACTGCGGCACGGTGGCCCTCAACATCGTCCGACGCGGCGGTGACCTCACAAACACTGTGTCAGTCGGATTCCGCACTGAGGACGGTACCGCCAACGCCGGCTCCGACTATGAGTTCACGGAAGGCGTCATGATCTTCAAACCCGGTGAGACGCAGAAAGAGATCCGCATTGGTATCATCGATGACGACATCTTTGAAGAGGATGAGAACTTCCTGATTCACCTCAGCAATGTCAAGGTGCTGTCGGTGGGAGCTGGGGAATCGAACCCTGAGGCCAATCACGTGGAGACCTTGGCGTGCCTGGGTCTGCCTTCCACCGCAACCGTAACGATCTTTGACGATGACCACGCCGGCATTTTTACTTTTGAGGAGCCCGTGATGCACATCAGCGAAAGCGTTGGCATCATGGAGGTGAAGGTTCACCGTGCGTCTGGGGCCCGTGGCGTGGTGGTGGTTCCCTACAAGACCATCGAAGGCACGGCAAAAGGAGGAGGAGAAGATTTCGAAGACACCCACGGTGTCCTGGAGTTCCAGAATGATGAGATTTTGTAAGTACAAGTTTACATTTACCATTTTTCCCCACTTTGGCCCTGCTTATTTTTATCGAAAGCAGGTTTTGCAAATAAGTGATTTTATATATATATATATATATATATATATATATATATATAATTTAAAAATATTTATTTATATATATATGTATATATGTGGATTTACTTTATATTAAGCTGCTCGGTGTGCTTTCAGCCCCCATTCAATAACGCGATTGTTGATCGCTCACATTGTTGTTTACATTGTATTTCCATTTTACAGTGATCCCAGGTACCTCTTTGCTTCAAACAGGGCTTCTTTGTCAACTTCTGCCATCTCTCTGTCCCTTCCTTTGCTTTCTGTTTCTTACTTTCTGTCTTTCCTTGTGGCTTTGCTTTTAACTGTGGATTTGTCATCTATGACTGTGCCATGAGAAAGAACTTAATCTCATAGTCTTGATCTCAGATCATTCTGCATTTTCCTCAGTTAGGCAACACAGTGCAGCACAGGTGTAAAAATTTCCTTAGGCTGAGCAATTAGTTAGTATTTCTGCAGATGTGGTTCTTTGTGGTGACAGAGTAGGACCTGGTACTCATCAGTATTGGTGGCTAGTAAATTCAAATGTAGAGTGGTACAAACTAACTTAGAGAGGTAGCTGGTGTATGCTCATGTGGAGTAGTACCTGGTATATGCGACCTTGGAGAGGTAGCTGGTACATGCTAATGTGGAGTGGGACCTGGTATGCATGCTAATGTAAAGAGCTAGCTGGTATATGCTAATGTGGAGTGGAACCTGACACAGTAATGTAAAGTGGTAACTTGTATGTGCTAAAGAATTTTTCTTTGACAATCCAACCGTATAATTTTATGATACAATGGTCATTCTATGTATTTTTCCCTCCAGTCATTTCTAATTAGACACCAGGGTGATGTTGAAAGTTTGTTGACATGCAGCAGGTTTGATTAATTACGCAAAACATGACTGCTTCAGTAGCTGGCTTAATAGCTACCTTGCAATTATCTAGCGATCTCATCGCATGCTCACAGTAGTCTGGGGGGCCCTTGTTACGTGTCCCACTGGCAAGTGCCATACTGCAGGATTTTATAACTGTAGACAGTAGACATGTTTTAATCATAGGTAATGCCTAGCTGCAGTGGAAAGACTTTAATCACACTCTCCAAAGGGTGGATTAAGGCTGTGAATCAGGGCTGGCTTTTTAATTTGCCCTCTCTCTGACATCTCTACGGAACACATAAAGGCACAGCACTGGGAAATATTTTAGAACCGTTTTGCAGCCACTCACAAACATTCGCGAGGGAACACAAATCTGTTTAATTGTTTAATACTTTCCAGCGCTATCCCTTAATGGGCTCTGTACACGCTGGGAGGGGGAGGGGGATGCTTTGCGTATTTAGGCTGGCTCCTCCTCTCTGTCGTAGTAACAAATATACTTACATTAATATATGAGCCTGTGATGTGAAAAGACAGTTGCTTTGAACAAGGGAACCTGCGTTCTCTGAGATGATATCTTTAAGCACAAGTCAGTCCATAAGCGCTGTCTTCTACATATTACAAGACATTTTTGCTTAGGGTTGTAAAAATGTATGTATGTGTGTGTGTGTGTGTGTATATATAATGTATGTATGTGTGTTTGTAACATTATATGCATACAATACTATAGTCATACTGAATGTTGTTACATCTCTATGAAAGTCATGTGTCCAGTTGTCCCCACAATGTGATAAAGACCTGTTATTTTAATGTTGTTGGGACCATTTTTTTGGTCCCCACAAGGGAAAACTCAGTTTTATAAAAATATGTCACTGCAATCATAAAACTAAAAATGCCAAAAGATTTGTATTTTGTATGGCTAGTTATGGTTAAGGTTAGGGCTGGGCTGGGCTGGGGTTAAGGTTGTCATTGCTGGGATTAGGGTTTTGCTTATAGAAATAAATTGAGCATCCCCACAAACAAATGAATACAACCCTGTGTGTCTGTGTCTGCATTCTATACATGTGTTTGTCACATGAAAGTGTTCTTTGACCATATTAGATGTCTGTGTTTCTAGAGAAGGCGAGCCATCATATTCGTTGACAGTAAGTGAACCTGAAGACCGAATGCTGCGTTGTTAGATGATTTTTATCCACCGGCGTTTTAGCTAGACTGTATGACTGTTTGATTTTCTTTGTCCACAGTCCATGTCACCTGCTTTCATATGTTACGGCTAATAGGTCTCAGCCATTGACTTGCTGGAAGGAACTTTATAAATAAATTCTGCCGAGGTTCCCCTTATGACATTTGCTTACTTTTGCCACAATGCACCTTCTTTCGCTGTTACATTGAGTTCAGCTATATGAGAAAATGACTGAATGTCAGAAACGGCTGATTTTTCATTTATAAGTTAGTAGGATGGCCATGCTCGTTCCCCCAGGCCCTTGGTATGCCTGGGCCTCAAGGGGGCGACGATATCCTCTTGGTCCCATCAGGTCCGGAAGTGAGTGGACGAGTGGGAGTAGACGGTCATTTTTCAATACTCACAATGCAGTGCGGTCACTGTGCTGCAGGAGCGATATTCAGGTTGACTGTGCTGACCAAACCCCCCCCAGAAAGGGCCTGAGAGTCAAGGCTGGTGGCATCTGGA